TAATGACATGTGAGTAGTCACTTCCTAGGTTAGAGCTCTTTGTCTGAAGAACCCAGCGCTTGCTAGCTCTTCTCATTCTTGGTAGCTGGATACTCATGACATGCCATGTTTGACTCTAACATGTTACTGATCACAAGAACACACCATCTTATGTGACACCAAGAAATAAAAAGACTGATAGAAAGCTCTTGTCACTTAGGATGATGTTTTTTTCTTCTCACTGAGAAAATTCTTTTATCATATAACATATCATCTACGTGTACATAAGAATAAAACTATGAAGAAATAAAAATAAAAAATAAAAAGAAGAAGAAGAAAACTGTGGTGAAATAAGTGAACCAAGATATATATCTATATATATATATATATATATTTATATATATATTTATATATATATATATATATATATATATATATATATATATATTTTTTTTTTTTTTTGAGACAGAGTCTCGCTCTGTCTCCCAAGCTGGAGTGCAGTGGCACAATCTCAGCTCACTGCAACCTCTGCTTCCTGGGTTCAAGCGATTCTCCTGCCTCAGCCTCCTAAGTAGCTGGGATTAGAGGTGCGTGCCATCCACGCCCAGCTAATTTTTGTATTTTTAGTAGAGACGAGGTTTCACCATGTTGATCAGGCTAGTCTCGAACTCCTGACCTCGTGATCCACCCGCCTTGGCCTCCCAAAGTGCTGGGATTACAGGCATGAGCCACTGCACCCGGCCAAACCAAGATTTTTTTAGGGCCAGGCTCGGTGGCTCATGCCTGTAATCCCAGCACTTTGGGAGGCTGAGGTAGCAGACCACTTGAGGGCAGGAGTTTGAGACCATCCTGGCCAACATGGTGAAACCCCATCTCTACTAAAAATACAAAAATTAGCTAGGTGTGGTGGCAGGCACCTGTAATCTCACCTACTTAGGAGGCTGAGGCAGGAGAATTGCTTGAACCTGGGAGTCGGAGGTTACAATGAGCTGCATCCATGCCACTGCACTCCAGCCTGGGTTACAGAGCAACATTCTGTCTCAAGAAAACGAAACAAAACAAAACAAAATAAAAAACTGGTGAAAGCAAAGACCATATCTCTTCCCCTCCCTCCCTTCTTCCCTCCCTCCCTCCTTCCCTCCCTTCCCTCCTTTCTTCCTTCCCTTCCTTCCCTTTCTCTCTTTACCTCTTTCTTTCTTGACAGAGTCCTACTCTGTCACCCAGGATGGAGTAAGATGGTGCAATTATAGCTCACTGCAGTCTCAAACTCTTGGGTTCAAGCCATCCTCCTGTCTCAGCCTCCTTCCTGAATAGCTGAGACTACAGGTGCACGCCGCCATGCCTGGCTAATTTTTAAAATTTTTGTAGAGACAGGATCTTGCTATGTTGCCAAGCCTGGTCTTGAATTCCTGGTCTCAAGCAATCCTCCTGCCTCAGCCTCCCAAAGTGCTGGGATCGTAGGCATGAGCCACGGTGCTCTGCCTCTTTCTTTTGTTAACACATCCATTTGTTGAGCACATATTCTGGTACCAAGAACTGCCCCCAAAGAGAACTAGGAGCCATAAGAGGGAAGGCTGGGATGGGGGTGAGGTGGGGGTATGGAAGCTTAGAATGTGGGTCCCTGTTTCCTGAGCCCCACACCAAGGTTTCTCCTAATCATTTTTCTCTTGAGTGCTAGGGCAAAAAAAATAAAGTTGCTCCATGTGCCAGAGGGTCAACAGTAGGGAGTGACTTTCCAGGCCACAGAATCAGGTAGGACCTGGCAAGGTCCATGCCCTCAGCCTGTAGTTGTCTGCATTATTCACAGAGGCAGGACCATCTAGGGCATGCTTGTGTCTTCCTGGCTCTTCCCCTGCCTGGGCTCAGGCCCAGTCCCAGTCCCAGGGAGATGGTAGTATCCATGGAATATATAAGAACTTCGAGTTTCAGCTGAGACAGGTCAGGGCTCAGGTCCCAATGGTGCCTATTTCCAGCTACCTGACCTTGGGCAAGTGACACAGCCTCCTTGTGTGCTTCCAATTCCCCATCTGTGAAATGGGGGTGATAATGTCATGACACTGATTTGGTTGTCATGAGTATTGAACCAGACAACCCATATAAAGGGCCTGGCCCATGGCATGTCTACTACATATTGGCCCTTTTTATATTTCTATTTTAGGTGACCCCAGGCCTGGGTCTCCTGCTGGGTCCATCTGACTTCCACCCTCCAGCACCCTCAGGGTTTTCTGCCTCCATCCTGATGACAGCCATCTGCTCTCCTCTGGCAGATTCAAGGTGATCTTTGGGTTTGCCCAGGCCCTGCATAAGGTCCTGGGGTGGGCTTTCTGCTCTCTCCCGTTAGGAGACAGAGCATGAGGGTTTCCAGGCTCCCCACAAGACCCAGGACTACAGGAGCAAAATTCTGATGGTGGGGTGGGTGATAGAAAGATGCTGCTTCTCACTCCTACCAGATGCTGGTCCTCATTAAAGACTTCATTAGAGGCCAGGCTCGGTGGCTCACGCCTGTAATCCCAGCACTTTAGGAGGCTGAGGCAGGCTGATCACCCAACATTAGGAGTTCGAGATCAGCCGTTCAACATGGTAAAATGCTGTCTCTACTAAAAATACAAAAATTAGCATGGTAGCACACGCCTGTAATCCCAGCTACTAGGGAGGCCGAGGCTGGAGAATTGCTTGAACCTAGGAGGTGGAGGTTACAGTGAGCCAGGGTTACACCACTGCACTCCAGCCTGGGTGACAAAGCAAGACTCTGTCTCAAAAAAATATATATATATATATTGATTAGAGTGAAGACTGTGCCTTTCACCTTCTGGAGGGGAAATATGCTAGAGAGATATTGTCCAGAAAAGGACAGGGTATAAATAATGTGACATAGCCACAGGTGGCAAAGGGCAAATGCCAGGTGCTCCAGAATCACCACCAGCTCATGAGGCTCTGGGTCTACAGGTAAGTCGGTGGCTCTGGGTCAAAGAGACATGGGTTCAATCCCTGGCTCCTCCACTTATTAGTCCCAGGACCATAGTCCTTAGTTTCTTCTGAAAAACAGAATTCTAATGGCAATAGTCTGGCAAAACCCAAGGTATTCATCAACATCCATGTTCTCCTCTTCTTGGGCACCTGCCAGAATGTGTTTCCCAGACACCTGCTACATGCAGTGAGCATGTGCTGCCAATGGAAATTGGGTTTGGGCCTGTAATTGTAGCATTTTGGGAGGCTACAAAGTGGGGTGGATCACTTGAGCTCAGGAGTTCAAGACCATCTGGGCAACATGGTGAAACACCATCTACAAAAATTAGTTGGGCCTGTGGTCCCAGCTACTCAGGAGGATGAGACAGGAGGATCACTTGAGCCCTGGAGACAAAGGTGGCAGTTAGCCGAGAGTGCACCACAGCATTCCAGCCTCAGTGACAGAGCAAGACTCTCTCTCTCTCTTTTTAAACTAATTTAATAGTTTTTGTTTTTTTGTTTGTTTTTTGAGACTGTCTCACTCTGTCACCCAGGCTGGAGTGCAGTGGTACAATCTCAGCCCACTGCCACCTCTGCCTCCTGGGTTCAAGCAATTCTCCTTCCTCAGCCTCCCAAATAGCTGGGATTACACGTGTGTGCCACCATGCCCAGCTACATTTTGTATTTTTAGTGACCTCAGGAGATTTGCCCACCTTGGCTTCCCAAAGTGCTGGCATTACAGGATTGAGCCACGACCTGCATAACAGTGTTTTTTAATGCACTGATTTTGCCTTAAGGAGATTGTGAATCCGGGAACTCAGCAGTAGACTCCTGGCTGTATGTTAGATTTACCTGGAAAGCTTTAAAAAAAAAATACTAAAATTTCAATTTAGTTGTTTTGGGGTAGAGCTGAGCATCAGGAGCTTTTTTTTTTTTTTTTTAAAGACGGGGTTTCACCATGTTGGTCAGGCTGGTCTTGAACTCCCGACCTCAGGTGATCCACCCGCCTTGGCCTCCAAAGTGCTTGGATTACAGGTGTGAGCCACCATGCCCAGCCTCATCAAGAGCTTTTTTTTTTCTTCTTTGAGACGGAGTTTCGCTGTTGTTACCCAGACTGGAGTACAATGGCATGATCTCGGCTCACCGCAACCTCTGCCTCCTGGGTTCAAGCAATTCTCCTGCCTCAGCCTCCCGAGTAGGTGGGACTACAGGCGTGCAATCAGGAGCTTTTAAAAAAATTTCTGGGCTGAGCATGGGGGCTCATGCCTGTGATCCCAGCTCTTTGGGAGGCCGAGGCAGGTGGATCACTTAAAGTTAGGAGTTTGAGACCAGCCTGGCCAACATGGAGAAACCCCGTTTCTACTTAAAATACAAAATTAGCCAGGTGTACTAGCAGGCACCTGTAGTCCCAGCTCCTTGGGAGGTTGAGGCATGAGAATCGCTTGAACCTGGGAGGCAGATGTTGCAGTGAGCCAACATCCTGCCACTGCACTGCAGCCTGAGCAACAGAGTGAGATCTTGTCTCAAAAAAAAAAAAAAAAAAAAAAAATTTCTGGTGTGCCAGGTGCAGTAATTCATGCCTGTAATCACAGCACTTTGGAAGACTGAGGTGGGTGAATAGCTTGAGCCTGGGAGTTCGAGACCAGTCTGGGCAACATGGTAAAACCCTGTCTCTACAAAAAATACAGAACTTAGCTGGGCATGGTGCACATACTTGTAGTCCCAGCTATTGGGGAGCTAAGGCAGGAGGATTGCTTGAGCCTCCTGCTCAAGAGTGAGGCTGCAATGAGCGGTGATCATGGCTCTGCTCTTCAGCCTCAGTGACAGAATGAGAACTTGTCTTCCCAAAAAAAAAAAAAAAAAAAATCCCTGGCGTTCCAATGCACAGCCAGGACTGAGAACCACTGATATAATTAATCCCAGGGCCTTTGCATGTGTTCCCTCTACCTGGAAGACTCTATGACCAGATCCTCCTAGAGCCAGCGTCTTCTCATCGTTCAGGTTTTGCATTAAGCCCTCTTCCGAGGGCTGCCATAACAAATGACCACACACTGGTGGTTTTTTTTTTCTTTAACCAGGGGAAAGTGCGAACACAGTCCCCCACTGCCACAAATTATGCAGTCGAGTTTCCCATATTTGGGGAAATTGCAGGGGTCAACACATCCAGAGTACAGTGGATAAGCCTTGTCCTGGGAAAATCACCTTCATGATCATAGTATTGCCAGGTATCATTTGGTGGTTTCATGCAACGGAAATCTACTCTCACAGTTCTGAAGGCCACAAATCCAAAATCAAGGTGTTGGCAGGGTTAGTTTCTTCTGCAGACTCTGAGGGAGAATCTGTTCCTTGCCTGTCTCCTGGCTTCTGGAGGGTGCTGGCAGCCCTTGGCATTGCTGGGCTTGGGGCTTCTGATCTCTGCCTCTATTTTCACATAGTCTTCTCCTTTTCTGTCTGTTGTAAGGATATTTCCCATTGGATTTAGAGCCCATACTAATCTAGCATGATCTCAATTTGAGGTCCTTTACCTTAATCACATCTGCGAAGACTCTTATTCCAAAAAAGGTCACATTCTGAGGTTCCTGGTGGACATGTGTTTTGGGAGCCACAACTCAGACAACTCCATCTCTCATGTCACCTCCTCATGTCAGCAGTGGCAAATCCATAGAGGTCTGCAGCAACCTCAGTTCTTGCCTCCTCAGAAGAAAGAATTTGACTGAGGGGCATAAGGCAGAAAGAGAGGCCGAGGCAAGTCTTAGAGCAGGAGTGAAAGTTTATTAAACAGTTTCGGAGCAGGAATGACAGAAAGTAAAGTACACCTGGAAGAGGGCCAGGCAGGCGTCCTGAGAGATCAAGTGCACGGTTTGACCTTTGACGTGGCCGGCATGCTTCTGGAGTCTTGCGTCTCTTCTCCCGATTCATCCCGTGGGGTAGGCTGCTCATTTGCGCAGTGGCCGGCCGGCACTTGGGAGGGGCCGCATGTGCAGTGTGCTTACTGAAGTTGTACACCCACTCACTTGAGGCGTTTTTCCCTTACCAGTCCTGCATTCCTAGAGAAAGGTCATATACCAGTTAAATGCCACCATTTTGCCTGTTAGTGCTCATGCTGGAGCCTGCTTGCCCAACTCCTGAGATCTTATCAGGAAGCTGCTGATCACCAGTTTCAGGTGTTTTCTAACTACTGTGAGACGGCCTTTCCCTGGCGCCAGCTGCAACCAATTACTATTTTAGACAGTTTAATAAGTGCTTGACCATTACCTGATGGGTACCTGACATTCCTGGTGGAGGGCCCTCTCCTGCCCAGCTTATGTCTGCCTGACTACCTACTCTAACACTCAGAGAAGCCTTCCCTGATCACCCTTGCTAACCAGCACTCACCAAGTCTATTGCCAGTGTTTCATAAGCCTCCCAGCATTGATTACTGCGTGGATTTACAGTATTTATTTATTTGATTAAGAGTTTATTATTTGAGGCCAGGCACAGTGGCTCGTGCTTGTAATCCCAGCACTTTGGGAGGCTGAGACAGGAGAGGAGACCGATCCAAGATGGCCGATCACTAACAGCTCAGGATTGTAGCTCCCAGTGAAAGCTCAGAGAACGAGAGGACGCCACGCTTTTAGACAAATTTTCGTCACTCACGGATCAGCTGATTCCCAGTGGAGGAGCCCCACCGGTCGCCAGCACGACTCTTGTGGCCGCCGCAGCGGTTTTGCCGGCGCCTCGGCGCAGCAGCTCTTCATGCAGAGCCAACGGGACTGCTACCCCTACTGACCGGAGTTTGGAGCTCCGGGAAATCAGAGCCACTTGTTGCGGACTCAAGAGGGAAGCCAGACCAGAGATTCCCGGGCAGAAGAGCACCATCAGTCTTATCGCTGCTATTTAGGCCGCCACAGTGTGTTGCTCGGATCCCAGCACTGGGAATCAATAAATCGGACGACTCAGAAACCTAATTAGAAAGGCGGTTCATCTACAATGAAGGGGAAAAAACAGCCTAAGAAGGCCGAGTATACTCAAAATCAGAACCCATCAGCAACGGAACAAGCCCTGATGGAAAAGGACTCATCAGCAGCAGAACAAGTCCTGATGGAAAAAGACTGTGTTCCATTATCTGAAATAGGCTTTAAAAGGTGGATGATGAGAAACTTCTGGGAGTTAAAGGAACTCGTTCTAACCCAATGTAAAGAAACTAAGAACTTTGAAAAAAGGTTCGATGAAATGATGAAAAGAATAGACAATATAGAGAGGAATACAAATGAACTTACGGAGTTGAAAAATACAACACGAGAACTTAGTGAAATATGTACAAGCTTAAATAGCCGAATCTATCAAGCAGAAGAAAGGATATCAGAGGTCGAAGACCAACTCAATGAAATAAAACGACAAGACAAGAATAGAGAAAAAAGGATAAAAAGGAATGAGCAAAGTCTCCAAGAAATATGGGACTATGTGAAAAGACCTAATATACGTTTGATTGGTGTACCTGAATGTGATGGAGAGAATGAATTCAAGTTGGAAAATATTCTTCAGGATATTATCCAGAAAAATTTTCCTAATTTAGCAAAGCAGCACACTATTCAACCCCAGGCAATATAGAGAACACCACAAAGATATTCCTCAAGAAGACCAACCCAAGGCACATAATTGTTAGATTCACCAGGGTTGAAACGAAGGAGAAAATATTAAGGGCAGCCAGAGGGAAAGATCAGGTTACCTATAAAGGGAAGCCTATTAGGCTTACAGCAGATCTCTCAGCAGAAACCCTACAAGCTAGAAGAGAATGGGGGCCAATATTCAATATACTTAAAGAACAGAACTTTCAGCCCAGAATTTCATATCCAGCCAAACTAAGCTTTACAATTGAAGGAAAAATAAAATCTTTTAGGAACAAGCAAGTACTCAGAGATTTTATTACCACCAGGCCTGCTTTACAAGAACTTCTAAAAGAAGCATTATACATAGAAAGGAACAACCAGTATGAGCCTTTCTAAAAATACACCAAAAAGTAAAGAGCATTAACATAAGAATTTACATCAACGAAAGGATAAAATAGCCAGTTAATATCAAATGGCAGTAATCCTAAATTTAAATCGACTAAACCCTCCAATCAAAAGATACAGACAAAATCTAACAGTATATCTAAAGATATACAAAGACTCAAAATAAAGGGTTGGAAAAAAACTTACCAATTAAACGGAGAGCAAAAATAAATAAATAAAAAGCAGGAGTTGCAATTCTCACAATTTATAAAATAGATTTCAAAGCTACAAGGATACAAGGGTAAAAGGATTAATGTAATAATAAGAGATCTTAACACCCAGATACATAAGACCCATAATGAGATTTAGATTCAACGAGACAGAAAATTGATAACGATATCCAGGACTTGAACTCAGATCCAGAACAAATAAACTCAACAGAGCTCTCCATTTTAAACACACAAAATATACATTATCCACTTTAAACACACAAAATATTGATTGGCCATTATTGATACCCATTTTAGGAATGAAGTAATATTTCTTTTTCCCTCTTCTTCTCTTTTTCCCTCTTTTTCTTTAAAAAAAAAAAAAAAAAAGAGAACAAAAGAGACAGGTGGATCACCTGAGGTCGGAGTGCTAAACCAGACTGGGCAACATGATGAAATATTGTCCCTACTAAAAATACAAAAATTGGCTGGGTGCAGTGGGTCACACTTGTAATCCCAGCACTTTGAGAGGCGGAGGCAGGTGAATCATGAGGTCAGAAGTTCAAGATCAACCTGGCCAAGATGATGAAACCCCATCTCTACTAAAAATACAAAAATTAGCTGGACAGGTGGTAGGTGCCTGTAATCCCAGCTACTCAGGAGGCTGAGGCAGGAGAATTGCTTGAACCCAGGGGGTGGAGGTTGCAGTGAGCTGAGATCATGCCATTGCATTCCAGCCTGGGTGACAGAGTGAGACTCTGTCTCAAAACTAAATAAATAAAAAACACAAAAATTAGCTGGGTGTGGTAGTGGTAGTGTAATCCCAACTACTTAGAAGGCTGGGGCAGGAGACTCACTTGAACCCGGGAGGCAGAGGTTGCAGTGAGCTGAGATCATGCAATACATTCCAGCCTGGGAGACGGAGCAAAACTCTCTCTCAAAAAAAAAAAAAAAAAAAGTTTATTATTCATCTCCCTCATTCCTCACTAAAAAGATAAATGCTAGCAGGGATCATATTCATGTTGCCGTCTGCCATAGCTCCCAGTCCCTAGTGCAGTGCCTGGCACATAAGGAGCACACAATAAATGTGTGTTAGATGAACACACAACGTTCCCTAGAAAGCCCAGAGCCAAAGTGGTGACCTGTCTTGAGTAAGTACGGGGATCTCATAGTTCTGTTCTATTTCCAACCTCACTCTTGGCCCCTTCTTACTCTTGTTTTCATTTCATTTCCTTTTTTAAAATTTAATTTAATTAATTAATTTATTTTGAGACAGAGTCTTGCTCTGTTGTCCAGATTGGAGTGCAGTGGTGCAATCTCAGCTCACTGCAGCCTCCATCTCCCGGGTTCAAGTGATTCTCCTGCCTCAGCCTCCCAAGTAGCTGGGATTACAGGCATGCACCACCACATCGGCTAACTTTTGTATTTTTGGTAAAGACGGGGTTTCACCATGTTGGTCAAGCTGGTCTCGAATTCCTAGCTTCAGGTGATCCACCCACCTTGACCTCTCAAAGTGCTGGGATTATCCAATAAATATGGTGCCCAGCCATATTTACTGAGCCATCAGTATATACCAGGCACTGTTTTAGGTCTAGGGATATATCAGTGAACAAAGTAAAGGTTCCTGCCCTTGTAGAGTTTATAGTCTAATGAGGGCCATCAGAAGATAAGCAATAAGAACAATAAATAAGTATATGGTACATTAGAAAGTCAAAATAAACGGCATAGTAGTTCATGCCTGTAATTTCAACACTTTGGGAGGCCGAGACAGGAGGATCACTTGAGCCCAGAAGTTCGAGGCCAGCTTGGGCAACATATCAAGACCTGGTCTTTACTGGAAAAAAAAAAAAAATTATCTGGGAATGGTGGCATGCCTGTAGTCCCAGCTACTTGGGAGACTGAGGTGGGTGGATCCCTAGAGCTCAGGAGTTCCAGGCTGCAGTGAGCTGTGATTGCGCCACTGCATGCCACTGCCCACCACTGCACTTTGGCCTGGGTGGAGAGCATAAAGGCAGGATATGACTGTGATTACAAGGGGATGGAGCTGTGAT